TCAAAAATGAAATATTTTAGCAAAATGTAAAGATGTGTGCAAGAAAGGGCCTCAAGCATTATCTGTCATGCTCGAAGAAGCTTTTTTATTTCTTTTTTTAATTGTCTACATATGCAACAGGTGGCTGGTTTAATATTATTTGACAGCTCACAGCCTTTGCAGAGGGAGTTTCTTTCTTCTAGATGAAAGCCTTAAAGTGCCGAAGAGTAGGGTTTAAAAACAGCCACAATCACCCAGATAAACCGCAGCGTTTATAGCGCAAATGAGCTTGTTTGCTTATTTAATTTGCTATTTTTTATTATGTTGCATGGTGGCACGGTGGTTAGCACTGTTGCCTCACAGCAAAAATGTCTGAGTTCAGGTCCACCATCAGGCTTTTTGTGGAGTTTGTGTGGGTTCTCTCTGGGTACTCGGGCTTTTCTCCAAGACATGCAGTTAGTGGGGTTAGGTTAATTGGAAACCCTAAATTGCCCATAGGTGTGAGTATGAATGGTTGTTGTGTGACAGACTGGAGACCTGTCCAGGCTGTACCCTGGCTCTCGCCCTAACGCAACTGGGATAGGCTCCATCTCCCTCCGCGACTTTGAAAAGGATAAGCGGAAGAGACTGGATAGATTATTATGTTGCATTACCTGCTCTCGGTATTTGCTTTGAAAATGTCCTTTCTCATGGCTGTCTTCAGAAAGTGGGGATCTTACTGGCCCAGCAGGCACTGCTAGTCCTCTTCGAGGCCCTCCCCAAACTGCAGCCGTATTATCACAGCTTATTCCAGCTGTAGTCACATCTAAAAGTCATAGTGCATTGTTTTGTAAATACAAGAAAATATGTTTCATATATAGCCTCTCTTTTATTTCTACCTGTATGTTACTTTATTAGGTGCATTTAAACTAAAGTTTTCCTATTAAATCTACTTTTACAATACCTATAATATGTTGTAAAGCTGTGTGGACAGTGTTAGGCTAATATCCCGTTCCCTTTTGAACCCTCGGTCACCTTTAACTTTT